ATCCCCAAAAGAAAGGGGGTTTACTTCAGAATGCACAGTTTTCTGGTAAAAAAATTGTACAGAATGTGGAAACATTTTCGTTGGACTATTCCCTAGTAAAATATATAAACACTGGTTCTGTGACGAAGATATGTTTGTATTCTACACACTTTCATTTCTGGGAAAGCAGTGAATATTGATAATCAGTTATGATACGGCCAAGGAATTTCTAAGAAACATCTAACGCCTCAAGAGCTGATGGTCAAAGTTCATTCTGAATTTTCAAAAATTAATTACCTCTTTACTGATAAATTCTAGTTTCCTGCAAAAAATAAAATCCGCGATACTTAACAAGTTTCCCAAGGATTCCGCTTGATAAATTCGTGTCATCTGGGAAATTTTTCGTTTTCTGGGAAATTCTTTTGGAGCAGCTCGAAAGGTAACTGGTCAAACACTATTTTAGTTTACGAAGGTATTTTATATTCAGCGCTATTTTACCTCCTCAATTCTTTTAAAATTGGGTATGGTTTTTCAGCCTTGAAATATTTCTTGCAGTCCGTTTATCGTTAAGAGTTGCTTCCTTTGGGAGGCCATCAGTTTGTTTCCGTTCGTTATGTAAGACGGTAGTCGAGAGGTTCGGGAAATGATTTTATAAGCTTGATCTTCGTAAACTGATGGCTTCGATGTATAAATATTATGTTATAGAAGACTGCCACTTATTCGCCTAAACACCAAACACATCATGTTCTACGGATTTATCTGTGATATGCAACCAAGAAGCTGACGGTAGTTATGATTTCAAGTTGTTTTATTGTGCTTAAGAGCGAGACAGTTACCCAGCATATTCGACGGATCCGATCGAACTTATTTGATCTGACAATTTTCCATTTTCTCTAATCGAATTGATGATAGAAATGACGTATGCAATGTTCAAAACTAAAGTGAAACCACGAGGCGCAACCGAATAGTTTCACTGCAGGGTTATTTTCCGAGTTTTTTTCCTCTTTTTTACCTTGACAGACAAATGATATATGGTCCTTAATGATTCTTTGTTGATTAAGCACTCGGACAAGGGGAAATGTTTAGTTTTAAAGTCCGTCATGGATATTATGCAAGAACTAATTTTATCTGTTTCTTACATTATAAATTGTTGATAAATTACCGATGAACGCAATTGCCACTACCATTAAAGTCTCTGTTTGTATTCAACTCGAATAGTATTCGATCATCGTTAATTCTGAAGGGGTAAGTTTCTAAAGAAACTGTGGTGCTGCGTCGGTGGGAGAGTATAG